GCGCAGCTGCGGGACCACGTGCACGACGCGCTCGCGCACGACGCCAGGTACGCACCCCCCTCCCCCCACTCACAGCACGCGCGCGCAGCTGCGGGACCACGCGCACGTGCACGACGAAGGTTCGGCCTCCGCGGGTACCCCCACACGCATGCACCCTGGCCCCGGCGGGTCCCCCACATGTACACATCCCGGCCCCCGCGGGACCCTGCACGCGCGCACTCTAGCTCCCGGGGGACGCCCCATACGCACGCCGCACAATATTGATACCCCGTGTGTTATTCAGATACACGGCGCTCGACCACATCCCCGAGGAGCGGGAGCAGATGATAGCGAGCTACCTGGAGGAGCTGGAGAAGAAGGGCCCCCCGCCTCCCCCCACGGCCACCGAGCCCTCCCGCAGGAACAAGCACTGACCGGACCCCGCGTGTACATTACATGAAGCTGTGAATAAACTATAGTTTAATTAAATAAATAAATTCTTGAAAATTTGGATCGTTGTTTTACTGAAGATCTCTCACGCCGCGGTGCGGACATAGACACCGCATTATTTTTAGATAATGTCTTGTCGGGTCCTACCCCTCCCCCCCCTGGTGCGGCTCCCAGCACCGCCCCCCCTCTCGCTCGACGTGCAACCCAGCGCACAGACACGATCCAGCGACAGATCCAGCGCAGCCCTGCTCCTGGGACTAGGGAAGCTGCAATAGCCATTCTAAGCTACCGGCGATAGGGAAATTACACTATTAAATAAATTAACGAACTATAATAAGCAACTATAACATATTTATCTGTTATAAGTAGTTATAACAGTCTGGTATTATAGGTATACCGGAGTCCATGAACTACAACACGACCGACGAGACCGCTCGTAGTCTCGGTCTACTCCTATATCGCTAATGTTACCGTTTGTGTTCGTCACTCTATCAGTGACCGCAACAATCGCATTATCATCTACTTCAAGCCAGCCTTACTGTGTGCGCACTGTCTGGACACTGTCTGGGCGCGAAACATGGAAAGTAACTAAAAAATACACGCAGCCGATCCAAGCTTTCTTCAACCGCAGCTTGCGTAGAGTATTTGGCACTTTCTGGCCTGAGAACCGCAACACCCGCACTGTACAAGTGCGAGCTCGCGCCTACCCACGTGCGTATACATGTGCAAGCTACAGTGTTACCTATGTTAATATTTCATAGACGCAACATGTGAACCCCGTGAGCGTGTCGGCGACCCGCCCGCCGCGGCCAGAACAGTCCCACGAGGGTCCTTGCAGTGGGTAGGAATAAAACAAGCGTAGTCCGGCCGTTTCCGCTCCTATTTAGTTTATTTACTAACGATATTCCCCGGTCGCCGCCGACCCAGCTAGCTTTATTCGCTGACGACACAACCGTTTACTACTCAAGTAGAAACAAGTCCCTAATCGCGAGTAAGCTCCAGAGTGCAGCGTTAACCCTCGGACAGTGGTTCCGAAAATGGCGCATACACATCAACCCAGCGAAAAGCACAGCAGTGTAATTTCAAAGGAGAAACACATCGCTAATTTCCTCCCGCATTAGGAGGAGAAATATCACACCCCCGATCACCCTCTTCGGCCAACCTATACCCTGGGCCAGGAAGGTCAAGTACCTGGGAGTCACCCTCAATAACAAGGTCATACCTTACAAAACTTGCATAAGGCCCGTCATGACTTACGCGAGTGTGGTATTCGCTCACGCGGCCCGCACACCGTCGAAGTCGCACACACATAGACACCCTCCAATCCCTACAGTCCCGCTTTTGCAGGTCGCCGTCGGGGTCCGTGGTTCGTAAGAAACGTTGACCTACACGACGACCTGGGCCTCGAATCAATCCGGAAATACATGAAGTCAGCGTCGGAACAGTACTTCGATAAGCTATGTGTCATGATAATCGCCTTATCGTTGCCGCCGCTGACTACTCCCCGAATCCTGATCACGTAGGAGCCCTAGACACATCCTTACGGATCCATCAAATCCAATAACCCTTGCATTAGACACCTTCAGCTCACCGGATCTTCTCAGCGGGTCGCGATTCCGATCCGGTAGTAGATTCATTCGTGAAGCAGTTGCCCTTGAGTTGTTAGGTCTCCTTCGGAAGCGCTCGGGTAGCTGTTAGCTAATGTCACCCCTCCTGGCTGAGCCTTTGCTCGCCCACCTGTCCTGGTGAAACTGGAAAGGCATCCGGGCCACTTCAATTATAGAAAAAAGTCTGGCCGATTAGTGCGTCTGTTTGTTTAAATATAATTATTGCAGTGCACCGATGTTCGGAACGAGAATGAGCTGAGCTGAGACCGCGCCACTATTTAGTTCTGGACTTGCGTGTGCTAGACGCGAGTCGCTCAGAGGATTTTTAAAAAAACAAGTTTAATTTTGAATGATTTATTCGGCATATTATCTATTAATTAAATACATAATTTAAATTAAACTATATTCACATTAGGACTAAGCTATGAGTAATGAAATATAACGCCGGGGGGGGGGCGCTTGTATGTTCGTCCGCTAATCTAAGAACTTTCTCGCACCACACACAACACGCACACACACAGTTAGTTAAAATTACAAATAAATCTCACTAATGTCTTTTTTGTTTCCTCTTTATTAAAGTATGTATTGTAATTAAATCTATCAGAGAAAACTTAACTTCAATAACATCTACAGTTCAGAACGCGCGCGGCGCGACCTCACGCGCTCTCATGGCAAGTAAGTGGTTACTGGAGCCCATAGACATCTACAACAGCTGCCCCACCCTTCAAAACGCATTACTGCTTCACGGCAGATATAGGGCGGTGGTACCTACCCGCGTGCGGACTCACAAGAGGTCCTACCACCAGTAAGTGGTCACTGTGCTTAGTGCGAATTTTGTTAACGTTCTCGACAGCGTAAAAGTTAACTCCAAATTGTATGGAGTAGGTACAGTGCCCCTAGCGGCAAACGTACGCAGACGTTACAACTCCATACAACTTTGAGTTAACTTTGCCACACTGATTTCTAATGTTATTCCTGGATTTACTTGGGACCTTATGAAATAAAAGGATGTCCTGAAGTCTGATATAATGCCGGTCCAGACTATAACTTAGAATGTGATTTTAAATATATTTTTTAGAAAATATAAGCCAACTTAAGAAAGTCATTTAAAAGTTTCCTAATAATTCAGTGTAGCTTTTTTGTTAATAATGGAGATAAAATTTAATTACTTTGTAAGGTGCTGACATAATTAAGAAACTGGCATAAAGATAGTGAAGAAAAAAAAGAAAGAAAGAAAGTGTCACCCGTTCAATTTATACATTATTTTGTACAACCCAAGTACCATCCCTCTGTAGCCCCGCTCGGATTGTTGCACACAGCATTAAGTGTCTTAACTGGGGACTAGCTTCATGTTTGAGTTGAAATTAAAAGTGTTATGAGATCATCAATAGGCTCATAACTAAACTGACATTTGAGTTGTGCACAGAGTCAATAAAACATATAGGCTGAAGTATCTGTGCCAATACAGCCAACCATGGCATTTGAGGACAAACAAAGGTCAAACATAACTGATTAAAATTATTGGTAAATAAAATATATTTTTCCTTAGAAATGTATAGTTTGTAATTAATTAACATAATCCTCGGAATGGTTTTCAATGTACCTAATTAAATTAAAAAGAAATGATTATTTTTTATTGCCCTTGTAGGCAGACGATCATACGGCCCACCTGATGGTGAGTGTTTACCGTCGTCCATGGACTTCAGCAATGCCAGGGGCAGAGATAAGCCGCTGTCTACCGCAAAATTGTTGATTGAGTGAGTGTGGTGGGGTCAGGGCGCGGTGTCCTTGTGCAGCAGCGCGGGGTCCTGCAGCGCGTGCGCCCGCAGCAGGTGTCGCAGGGCGGTGCGGCGGCGGGCGAAGCGCCCCTCGCACAGGGCGCAGCGCCAGCGCGCGGGCGGGGCGGCGTGGCGGCTGCGGTGGATGCGCATGAGGGTGGTTGTCTGGAAGCGCGCGGGGCAGTGCGGGCAGGGCACGGGGCGGTCGGGCAGGTGCGTGGCGACGTGCTGCAGGTGGGTGCTCCGCCGGTGGAAGGCGGCGCCGCACTGCGCGCACACGAACGGGCGCTCCCCGGTGTGCAGCCGCTCGTGGATCTGACGAGATGAGCCCACGATCGCACGCGCACTTACTTTTTAAGGGATTTTATGATCTGGTAACTAAGACCTTTGAATCATGCCTCACTGGTGACAGGACCTCTTGCGAGTCCGCACGGGTAAGTACCACCGCCCTGCCTATTTCTGCCGTGAAGCAGTAATGCATTTCGGTTTGAAGGGCGGAGTAGCCGTTATAACTATACTTGAGACCTTAGAACTTATATCTCGGGATGGGTGGCGCATTTGCGTTGTGAGGTCCTACCACCAGTGATTACACAAATTATAATTTTGCGGGTTTCATTTTTATTACACGATGTTATTCCTTCACCGTGGAAGTCAATCGTGAACATTTGTTGAGTACGTATTTCATTAGAAAAATTGGGATTCGAACACCGGTGCATCGCTCAACACGAATGCACCGGACGTGTTATCCGTTAAGCCACGACGACTACATGTCTATGGGCTCCAGTAACCACTTCGCACCGAGTGGGTTGTGGGCTCGTCCGCCCATATAAGCAATAAAAAAAAGGTCTTATTCTAATTTATATTCTTATGTTTATGAAAAACTAGCTGACCCGGCAGACTTCGTAGTGTTTCAATCGATAAATAAAAAACCTAAACTTTTGTATAAAATAAACTTAAAACAAACAAAAGGAATCCGTCCGAGGGTGGACGCATCAAAGGGAAAACAAAATTGTTATTTTTATTTAATTCCGAGCATTTTCATATTTATCTACCTTTTAAACCTTCTCTGGACTTCCACAAATAATTCAAGACCAAAATTATCCCAATCGGTCCAGCCGTTCTCGAGTTTTTAATAATAATAATAATGTTTTTATTTCAAGTAACCATGACTCATGTAAATTGTTAATAAGACTTAGACCTATGTTAGTAGTTATATTTACATCACAATGAATTACTGTCGTAACATCCCATGGGAGATGGCACCACAGCGACCCATGTATACACAGTCCAGCCTGCTTGCGATCATGCTCAGGATACTGTTGGAGCTGGCCCTCACTCTGCTTACCAGAGATGCACACCTCTTACGCATGGTAGCGTAAAAACAATCTATGTGCGCGTCTAACGAACAGCAATTCATTTTTATATTATGAAATGAAATGAAGATGATTAATTTGAGACATTAATCAACTGGGANAGGTACAGGCGACGCAGGAGCAGCGAGCTCGGTGGAGTCCACGAGAGGGCTCGCAGTGTGATCGGCCTTGAAGGCCTGAAACTCGGAAGTGAGCTTTGGGTAGCGAAGCCGGAGAAATTCCGCAAATACAGCGTCCATGATGTCTACGTGCCCAGGTGGGGCTACCCTGGGTCTTAGAAAACACTCGCCTTGCGGCGAGAA